TTATTAATCACTGCTAACATTACAAAATAGCAGCTAAGATGTTCTATGTCTGCTGATGGAGGAATTAACAATATTAGAGTCTAAAAAAAAACCCAATATTAGAGTCTAGCCAAATAAATTAAATAGACTATGAATCTAATGATTATAGAAAACACTTCAAAAGAAAACAAAATAAACAAACAATCAGGAAAATTCATACTGCGGGAAATCCTACCTAATCAGTAATGTGAGTTTTTCAGTGAATTAAAAACTACAAGCCAAACGTATGGTGGTACATGCTGTAGTCCAGGCACACCAGATGCTGCCTTGTGAGAATCACTTGCGCCAAGAAGTGTGAGTGAGCCTGGGTTATATAGCAAGACCCCATCTCAAGAAAGGACAAAAACCATAGTGTTCAGAAATGCGCCTTTTGTTATAAAGCCATCGAAAAAAACTGTGCATGGTTATCATATAGAAAAAGACAGCGGCCACTTGTCCAGTGTTTACTTTTATAGGGGACAGAAAAGAGGAGCATTCTTGGGAGAGACTGAGGACACCTCTGAGATGGCTGGAAAAGTTGTCTCTGACTTGGCTCCAAAGTCTTGTACTACACTTATCCATACATGTCTGTCGTTTTTCTGTCCTATAACATTTCATAGTAAAAGTAGTTTGGAAAAAGACTACACATGAATGAGAGCAAAGCAAAGCAAGAAAGTGAATATTTCTTAGAATGAGAAAAAAATATTCACTAACTTTAAAATTTTAAAACTTGGAATTAACACAAATGTCACAAAATTCACAAAATAGCACAGTATTCTCTATCATCTAACTCAGACACACTTCTATAATCCATTTTATAGCTACACTTTTGGCTTCATACAATATGACCTCTCATATTTTATATTAACATTTTCTACATATGATAAAAGATAATCCAGTATTTGCTGTAACAGGATAGATCAAAGTGTTTTCATTCTTCAGCTTCAAAAAGTTTCTTTCAACTCTACAATTCAATACGGATACGACGTATGTAACAGCACCCCCAAATGTTTTTAAAATTGCCTGGTAGGGTGTACTAGGTTGTATAACTGATCAGATAATTATTGTACTATGTAAAAATGACTTACTGCGGGCACTGGGTAAGAGATTTGTCACTGGAACACTTCCAAGGTGATTTTGCTTGCTATTTCATCCGGACAGATGTGTCAGGGCAGAGCGAGGCAGACATGCTCTGGTGTGATCCCGTGGTTGGGAGGAGAAGCATCAACATTCGTACAGCTGCGCTTGCTGTAGATTCATCCCATGGCATGCAGATGTTAGGATAGATTCCTCATCAGATCCTGGGAGAAAGATGATATTTATAATGGCCTATCTTACAGTAACAAACATATTTCAATGAGGCGAGATCTTCCTTTTGATTAGGAACTAATGAGAACTTACGTCTGTTTACGGTTTTTACAGCTGATATTTGGAAGAATTCCTACACAGTGCTGTCTGGATCAGTGCAGTTCAAGCCTTGTTTTTCTCTTTCCACTTCCCTTTATTTCATGTGACGGCTCCTATAAGACTCACTTTTGGGACATTATCACCTCTGGCCTGACTCTTCCTGGCATGTACCATACGGACACAGGGGCTATCAGAGGATTCCTGAAAACCAGAGGAAGTTAGCAACAACTAACTTCAAGCTGCCAGAAAGGTTTCAAAACTAAAAATGGTAGAGCACCCAAAATAGCTTCTTTTTTAGAGTAATGGAGACTGAATCCAAGGTCTTTACACTGAGCTATATCTCCAGCCTTTTTCTGTTTGTTTGTTGATTTGTTTGTTTTAATTTTCAACAGAGGGTCTCACTATACCAGTAAGTTCCCCAGCTGGATGGAACTTGGCCTCACCACGCAGAGGGCTGGAATCACAGGCATGTGCCAGCATGCCTGGATTAATATAGCTTTTATATCCTTTCCTAGATTCCCATACCACCATTAGTTTACCCTCTGCTTTATTGTTTTTTCTATGTTCTGTCTTGCTATTTACTCATTTCTTATCACATGGATTCCAAAAGTTGTATTTATTGAATGGTTTTTAATTAATTCACATATTTAATCATTTTGGTCATCAAATATATGGCATAAAGAGCATCTTCAAGCTAATATCTATGTCCTTGTCAATACCCCTCTACTTATTTGAACACTTCATTTTCTGGATTGACAAGGTTTTTGGCAGGGTCTCTTTAAATCTGCCTCAATCCTGGTATATTGTCTAATTCCAAAAAGCTTCAAATGCCTTTAGTGAAAATTTTGAATATATTTTTCCTAGTAACTCTTTGACTTTTCCAAAAGTATCAATGTCTTGAAGACTAGGGGGAAATACAACAAAAATATACCCTTTGTCACAGAAGCAGTGAACTCAATGGTTTTCAAAGAGCCATTTTTGTTCCCATACACTCTACCATTGTATAATATTTAAAAGAGTTCATTTTAAAATGTCCACCTCTCACTTCCCTCTAAAGTGGGCAGTTTATAACAACACAGTAACGCACAGCTTTTGTCAAAGCTCCAGCCACAATTCTCTGCATTTGCCAACCAATTTTGATTGTGAAAGAATGTTGGGCTAGGCATGTGGTAGCTAATGTGGACTTGTCCAGACAAAAATCAGAAGTGGAATTATAAGACAGCTTCTGGTGTGAAGCAATGAACAGAACAAGTACTGCTTCCAGCTATTTTGAGAGAAATTTTTATTTAATTCTAGTTTAGGAAGAAATGTCAAATTTCCAAAGAAATGTACTCATGAGTCTTTAAAATAAAATAATAAGAATAAGAATAATAAAAAGGGTGAAAAGATACTCTGGACCAAGTATATTAAATCAAAATGTTTGTATTATTTAGTATGAACAAAAATAAGAAGCATAGTCAAAATATACTGTGAATGTTTAAATTTTAAAAATTTTATTATGACATATTGCTATTAAACCCCTCAGAGAAGTTCCCTTGCTTCAAATACATTTCTCTCATTGTTCCTGCCACTTTCTGAAGCAGTTCTGGAATTCCTCTTTCATGAGTGTCCTTTCAAGGTATGATAAAAAACCTGGGGACTATTGTGGAGTGTCATGCAAAAGAAAGGCAAGCTCATAAAAATATTAAAATGTGCTTCATCTGCTTTATTCACCAAATATGTCACCATGCAACTTCTTGGTCTTCCCCAAAGTCAAAACAATCATGAAAAGTAAACATTTCAAATCAAGATTCATGGCAATATCTCTTTCACCATAATATATCTTTTTTTATTTAAACATATGCCATAATTTTTGGTGATGCCTTGTAAATATTAGATATTTAAACAGTTATAGTACTTGTTCTGAAACTCTTATAAAGTAATATCATGAGCACAAACAGTATATACACTTCTAGCTAGCCAGAGAAATTACTAGAGTGGAATTTGGAAGACAAATTTGGATTTCATTTCTGCTAACAATGTTTCCTCACATCTCCAGGGCACAGGGTAAGTATGTTAAATGAAGGAATTAAACTATGTCTAATTGATTTTTCTCTACTGTTTATTCTCTATTTTCATTTATTTCTAGTCTAATATTCATTATGTCAGGACATTGAGGCAGATAAAACAGTACAACTAAAGACACTCATGGAAGAAAACGGTAGAACTCCTTCAGAGAGTGCCAAGAGGGGCTGGGGATTTAGCTCAGCGGCAAAGCGCCTGCCTGGCAAGCGCAAGGTTGTGAGTTCGGTTCCCGGTACCAGAGAAAAACCAAAAAAAAAAAAAATAATAATAACAGAGAGTGCCAAGAACAACGGGAAAAGTGTGTTCAAAGTGAGGGGCTTGTATTTTGAGAAGGATGGGGTGTGATGATTAAGCTTGTCATGTCCACCTGACTGGTTTAGAAGTTGCCCAGAGAACTGGTGGAGCACACTGCTGGATATGTCTACACGGATTATGGGGGAATGACTTTGGGATCACTGTTCTTTCACTCTTTTCTCTCTAGCACTATTTCTATGCTCTGCCTTCATGCACCCTTGAACTAAGCAGCTTCGTTCAACCACACTGTCCCACTGTGAAGTTCCTGTCTTCCAAACATGGACAGAATCCCCTGAAATTGTGAATCAAATGAATTTCTACTCATTTAGGTGTTCAGTGTTAACCACTGTGTCCCAGCAAAGGGAAAGTTGACTAATACAGAAAAATGTGTTATTCAATTTCTATATTTTTAAATTTTTTCCAAATTTATTTTTCTGGGTTTCTAGTTTCTTAGTATTGCAATCAGAAAAAAATAATTGCTATGATTTCAATCTTAAATTTGTGGAGACGTATTTTATAGACTAACAAAAGATCTATCCTGGAGCAGTATTGTAATTAGAAAAAATAATTGCTATGATTTCAATCTTAAATTTGTGGAGATGTATTTTATAGACTAACATAACATCTATCCTGGAGCAGATATAGTCTACTATTCTTGAATGCAATGTTTGTTTCATTTGATGTACAGTGTTATTTAAATTCACTGCTTTTTCATTAATTTTCTATGTTGATGTCCTAGAAATGGTTGACAGTAAGACACTGACATCCCCTACACTTTTTTTACATTTCAGTTTCTCCTTTGAGTTTTGTTAATATTCATTTTATATATTTAGGGCCTCCAATGTTAAGTGCATATGTATTCATTATTATATACTCTTGATGATTTGTACTCTTTTACATAGCAACTTCTTTGTCTTTTATGACAGATTTTAACTGAGAGTCTATTTTGGGCTGCTAATTGCATGGAATATCATTTTTCATGTCCTCATTTTTAGTTTATGTGTGTCCTTGAGGATAAAATGACTTTTATAAGGAAATAAAACTGTGGGTTGTAACTTGTTTTGCAAACATTATGCAAGATGGGCAAACATTTCTAGTAAATTTCAAATTGGTAAACAAGTGACGTCTTGTAATACAAGTAGTGCCTGGTGCTGAACATAAAATGATCACAACTGAGCCAATGTTCTCTCTGTCTCTCTGTCTCTGTCTCTATCTGTCTCTGTCTCTCTTTCTCTCTGTCTCTGTCTCTGTCTCTGTCTCTCTCTCTCTCTGCAGAATTGTGGGTGATCATTTCCCAGCAGCAAGAGGTTATGGAGGATATCTTGTCTCTAGAGAAGGAAGAGAAAAAGGGTAAGGAACCCCTCACTTCAAATGAAATTAGGGAGATGTGTGTGTAAAATGTGGGAAACAGTGCAAAATTTTGTAGACAAGCTCTACCGAATAAAGCTGTAGCAGTTCAAATGATAAATCTATTGAAGGAAACACAAGTTTCATTTCTGTAAAATCCTCAGAAGGAGACAAAAGCAAGTGTCACTGGATAAGTTCCTTGTTAGAGATGCATGGGGAGAAAAGGATTGCACTGAGTCAATACAAGGCAGTGATTCCAACAATGATAGTGAAAGGTGTCCTCCTCTCTCTTGTGCTCCTCTCTCTTGTCTCCCTCACACCAGCTGTGAAGGTTTTCAAAGGTAAGAGTAGGTTAATATGCTTATTTTTCTTTATACTGTGTATTTTTTATTGTTTTATGTTATAGTATTAAAATCCTTTTATATGAATATTTTTGGGTTTTGAAATGGATCACTTGAGTTTCCATTGTTTCTTATTGGGATATTGCCTTGATATAAAAGTGCTGTGGATTACAAGTATATTTCCAGAACAAATTATGTTTCCAAACCAAAGCATATATATATATAATATATACATATAAGATCTTCTATATATATATGTATACATATATATAGAAGATTTTTTTTTATTATTTTGTCTTTCATCCATTTAGCCACTCTGTTTTTTTGATTGCAGATCTTACTGATTTACATTGAAAGTGGTTCCTAATGTTACTAAATTTTGTTTACTAACTACTTTTTTTTTACCACCTTTATTATTCTCTTGCTATCGTCCCATGTGTTTGTTGATTTTCTTTGTAGTAATATGCCTTGACTCGTTTTTAATTTTTTTTTTTTTTTTTTTTTTTTTTTTTTTTGTCTCTTTGAGACAGGGTCTCGCTATGCTGGCCTTGGGTCTTGCTATGCTGGCCAGTTCAGGCTGGTCTTGAGCTCACTTTGTAGCCCTGGCTGGTCTCGAACTCACAATGATCCTCCTGCCTCAGCCTCCTGAGTGCTGGGATTATAGGCATGGGCCACCATGCCTGGTTTAAAAAGTCTTTTATGCATCCATTAGAAGTATTTTTCCTTGTGGTCGCTATGGAACTGACATTAAACATCTTATGCATATAACAATTTATTTAAAGTTGATAATAGCTTCAACTGGAATAAAATTTTTATTCTTTTGTCCATTCTCCTCCCATCTTGGTATTGATGCAGCACTTTATATCATTTATGTCATGTATCCATTAACAAATTATTATTGCTATAATTATTTTAATGGTTTTGTCTTCCAAATTTTATTCTAGAATTAAAGGTGATTTAGTCACCAATAGTGCAGTTTTATAACATTATTAATTTGCCTGTATTTTGAAGTCTACAGTGAGTCACATATTTTCAAGTTATTACTTTATACTCTTTTATTTTAGCTTGAAGGACTTCCTTTAGGTTTTTTTTCCCCCCTAAGGTAGCTATAGTGGTGAACTCTCTCATCTTTTTGGTCTGGCAGTATCTTTATCTCTCCTTCAGTTGTAAAGGACAGCTTTTCTAGGAGCAAAGAAATATAGCTTTCTAGGAGCTAAAAAATACAGCTTTTCTAGGAGCAGTATTCTTGTTTGGCTCTACTTTCCTACCTGAACTTTTAATATATCAACCCTGGTATGCCAGGTTTCTGTTGTGTATTGATAACCTTATGGGTTTTTCCTTGTTTTTACAAGTTTCTTTTCTTTTGCTATTTTCAAGATTGTATCTTGTCTTTGGCTTTTGATGATTTGATTATAATATTTCTTATGGAATTCTTCTTTGGGTTGTTCTTTAGGTATATTTGTGTTTCATGAATCTGGGAGTCTATAACTCCCTTAAGACCTGAGTTAATTTCAGAGATTGTTTCTCTTTAAATGATAAATTCTCCCCTTCTCTTCTTGTTTTGTTCTGGAATTGTATATTTGCTAACTTGATGTTGGCTTATAGGTTCCTTATGCTTTCTTCACACTTTTTCATTGTTTATTTCTTTTCTGTTGCTCTAATTAACTAAGTTCAAATGACTTGAATTTGAAGTCACCAATTCTTTCTTCTGCATTATCAAGTCTGGTATTGAAGCTCTCTATTCTGTTTTTTTTTTTTTTTCAGTTCTATTATTGTATTCTCCAACTCCAAGATTCTTGTTCTTTTTAATAATTTCTATTTTTAATTAAAATTTCATTTTGCTCATGCATTGCTTCTCCCAATTTTTGTTAGTTGTTTTCTTATATTTTGTTCTATCTCACTGAGTTTCTTTAAGATAATTCTTTTAAATTCTTTGTGAGGCAATCTGTAGATTTTCATGGGGGGAGTGGTTCATGGAGATTTACTAGTTTCTTTGGTGATGTCACGTTGGCCTGATTCTTTGTTCTCCACAGCTTCACATTGGTGCCTATGAAATGAAATACTAACACCATTTTCTAACTACAGCACAGTTCAGTATGTAAGGCCTTCTCCTGTTGGTTTTCTGTGCTGATTAGATTGTCACCAAGACTGAAGTTCAGTAGTGTTGGAACCAGATCGTGTGGCTATTGCTGGGTCTGCAGTCAGTGTCTGTGCATGAAGGGATTATTGCTAAGGATTTGACTGGACATGACACTCTGTCGGGTCTCTGGGAAGACTGAGCTACCTCTAGGAGACAGGTTTATAGGAATGCTGCTGGTTCATACCTCCAAGTGGAATGCACACAGATGTGGTTCTTTCCCCATCCTTAGGAATGGAAAGGATCACTGAGCTACTAAGTGTGTCTGGCAGGCTTGGACCATGACTGTCTCAGTTACTTTTCTCATCTCTGAGACAACACACCCAATACGCCACATTAAAGGAGGAAAGGCTTATTTATCTCACAGTTTGTATAAGTTTCAGTCCATCATTGGCTGGCTCCAAGGCAACGTGGCTTGGCAGAGGGGCATCACAGAGGAGAACCAGTTTATAGCAAGCAGAAGACAGAAAAAGCAAGAAAGCAAGGGACTTTAACTGCATGTTTCTGCCCCTTTTATCTTATCCAGGCTACTCAGGGTGACGAGCACTCACCCTAGCGCCCTTGAGCCTAGCATTGCCCCATGAATCAATCCCAGCGTCACACAGTCTAGATCCAGCTGCCTCTGAAAAAGCCTGCAAGGCTTTGTGGGGGACATCCAGACAAAAGCCATAACAATGACTGAGAGAAGCTATAACTGAGTCACAGTGATAGTTCACAGCTGAGAGCGAGATTGCTTTCCTGTTTCTCAGGCATGGGTGAATGTGACTCTTCAGAGTTTCTGAGGAAGTAGGACTACTCTCTGATCACAGTGAGAGATTCTATAACCAAGTTACAGAGACTCTTTAGGGTATATTTCAAGGATAAAAGTTGCAGGAGCTGTCAGCTAAGGCATGGACGGGACTGCCTCCTCCTGGATCCACTGCAGATGGTTCTGATTGTAGGACCAACATAAAATGGGTTTGCAACTGAGTCCACAGAAAGTGAAGGACATTTCTGGCTCTTTACAACAGTCAGCAAGGCTGCCGCTTGGGGATGAGCTGGCTTTCATAAAAGGAGCTTTTTGTAGTCTAGGATTATACCAGGATTTTGTAATCTCCTGCATGGACCCCAAAGCTCCCAAATCACATCTGTGTGCGGATGGTCACCAAATTCTTATTGCTGTGGAAGATGCTCCTTTTTTGCCTTCTTGCTCTTATTATGCAGAAAATGTTTCTGATTAAATTCCTTTATCCAATTTTTCCATTCCAATCTCAGTTAATCATTAATAATTTTTTTTTCCACATCAGCTCTGCTGTCTGACGTATCCTTCTTTTTCAACAAAAAATGGCCTGTATTTATAGCTGAGTAGTTTCCCCAGCCTGTTGCTTGCCTACAAAAATTTGAGGGCCCACAGGCATTAATTTTCCCTTTGTACTATCTCAGTGTCTTTTAATCAAATCTGGTGGTAGTTCGCTTTTCAGTGTAATTCTCCTACACTTTGAAAATGCATGATGAATCTAAAAGACAACACTGCTTACTCCAAAATTCCACACTGACAAGTTTTTGGGAAGCATCTTCTTCCTTTCCGTTTACACATGAAACTTCTATAGGACAGTGTCCTTCCTGAACTGCGAATCCGTTCTGTAAGTGAGAGTCTTACAAATCTTAATATTTAAAATAAAATAGTTAACCTTGGTGATGCTTTTTTAAAAAGTTAAATAAAAGGAAGACTGAAAATTGATCACCGGATTTTATGCATCAGTCTTGGTGATAGCCTTGATAAGCACTTTCAGTAAAGGGGCAGAATGGGCTCCTGCTTATACTGCATTTAGAAGTGAACAAAAGAAAAGAGACAAAGGTGTCATATGCAAACTGTGTTATGAAGAAGAGAAAACATGGAATTTATAGGAATATTTTTAAAGGAAAATACATTACCCTATGTTTATGTTGATGGAAATTATTTTGTAGGAGTAAAATCTTTGACAAAGTCAATGGAATTCAGCACACAAATTAAAACTGTGACCTTATGTCTGTGCATGGGTAGCCATTGTTTTAACAGTAAAGACAGCATGGAATAAGAATTTTGATGTAACTCAGAAGCAGTTTGCTACAGTGAAGATGATGAAGTTCTAATCTAATGGCTTCTGTTCTTTTCAGGTTAATGTGAAAAACAATATCATATGCTATCAGTGATAATATTTGCTGTATGAAAGAGATATAAAATGAGTGTCTTTATGGAGGATATATGGCCTCAAGGCCTACTTGACTGCTTAGTAGACCTGAAGTCACACCTCAAATTTATTTGGTAACTGTTAAGTGACTCTATGTTCTTCTCCAGCCATGTTTAGCCACTCACATGTGAATATATGGCAGTCTTGAAGTTAGCTTTTCCCCAGTGAGGTCAGGAGGAGGAGGAAAGTATAAAGCATTGGTTTATGATGATAGTGATGCAGTCAGTTGAGATCAGTAAATGAGAAAGTAAGATTACTGTTTGTTGTAGTCAGGGTTTACGGGGGAAGAGATTTAATACAGGACTCATAACTCATGGGATTATTTTGTAATATTCACCCACAGAATCAAATGCAGAAGAATGCTAGAAATCTGTCCACACACTAGGGACCCAAAGAAGGGCCAGCATCCCCCACCAATGTCCTCCACAAGTCCAGCTTGAGGCGAAGAGCCCACGGCAATGTTTCATGCAAATCTGTACCAAGGACCCGCACTGGGAAGGCCCAAAAGCCAGTGGTGGAAGCTAGAAAGTCTACTCCATAGGATGAAGGATCTGTGCCAGCCGGCTGAGCGATCTGCATCGGAGCCAGGAAATGACACTCAAGGTAAGGACCAGAGCTGCCTCAAAGAGAAACTCAGACATCCTTGGCAACAGGGAGGACCCGAGCTTCTCTGAGGATGAGAACAGCTGAGTTTGTATCAGGACAACCAGCGTGACAAGTTTCTCCGGGAGAATTAACAGGACATCTTCCCCTCCAGTTCTCCTTTTATGCTGCTGACAACAATCCTCAGGTGGGCTTTCCATACCCAGGACCACACTGATTCAGTTCAGCTGGGTGTTGCAAGCTGACCATTAGTTAATCCACCACACTGTTATACTCCCATTTATACTATAGTGTTGCCTATTATAACCCATTCATAGTAGCATTGTTCATCTCAAATTAGGTGAAAATAGACTACAAACTTCTAAAATTTGAGGTTGCCACTATAATACAACAGTATTTTTTTCCTTTATTGGTTACACTGAGTGCTATAGTAATTACTTTGCTCAAAGATCTCTTACATGGATCTTCATCAAGTGACAAACAACAATTTTATAGCTGGGCATTGTATCTATTATATTAATTATAAATAAATTAAACATAAAGAAGGAAATAATTTTCTGGCTTCACACATAATAAAAGTTCTTTGTCAATTTTTTTTTCCAAACTGCATTCCATCTCCAAAGCACAGAGATAAAAGCCTTAGGCAAAACTGAGAATATTGGTTTTGAAAAGATCAGTAGATTATCCATCCCAAGTTCCTTCTTTGAAAGAGAAAATGCAGAACTTATGTTGAATTCACTAACAAAGTGAGTTATGCGCCTCCAGTGTCATCGTAAGGGACAGGAGATTCTCTGGTCAGACCAGATGTCATAGAAACAAGAACAATAAAAATTGTCTAAACAAGCAGCCAAGCACATAATTTATCCCTGAAGGAATTCTTCTGAAAGCCACTGCCCTGGGCCTTAAAAAAAAAGACCAAAAAGTCCATCCAAAGTCTACATAGAAAGAACGGCCCAGTACCAGGCTCTCAGATGCTTTGGGATCAGTTGGGCTGCATCTATCTTATTCAGTGGTCTCATAATTCATGGGACTATTTTAAAGACTGGTCTGCACATTTGGTCATCATTCCTCTCAAAGGCTAGAAGGTGTGGAGGATTGTTTTTTCAGACTGTTTCAGAATTATATTTCCTTTGCTGAATTAGTGGAAGGATTTGAAAGATCACTAAATCAACAAGTTGAGTCACACTACTTCCTGAGTAATATGGCAAGCATGTTCTGTGTTCCAAGGCTGAGATTAGGATGGTAGAAAGAAATAAAATTGGTTTTATATAAAGACTCTGGAAGCAGAGAGTTGAAGTAACAGTCTACTGAACTCATAGAATGAAAAGACTTAACTAAGGGAAGTTCAAAGTCTTCTGACATCCACAATGGTGTTGTCTTTACAGTGTAGGGAGAGGGAGGTATGGATGAGGGCAAAGAAAACGTACTGTCCCAGGTCAGAACATCACCCCTAAAGTACCAATGCTTCCTAGTAGTGTCAGAGTACTTGGTGGCTTATGACTATCTTTAATGTTCCCGTAGAGGAGCCAGTCTGTGTTACTAGTCAAGGTGACCCACCCATTGGCAGGTTTATTATACCCCTAAGGAGTAATTATAAAGGAGTCCTGTTTATAGTACAACCATTCAAGAAAGCTGGATTTGCTTCACAAACAAATAAAACTCTCTTTCCCTGGAGAGTGTTGGCCATGTTTATTTTTTCTTTATAATGAGTACTTGATGGTCAACAGAAAGCTTTCTCTGTTGGACAAAGAGGAACTTTGTGCTCTGCTTTTCTGGTTTCTTTGAACCTCAAGGTTGGCTTCTCTCTGGGATTGTCACTAACCACCAGCAGCCTAATCCATCCAGTTGTGATGTTCAGTTCACTTTTCAAATTTAGAACCGTAGTTTGAGTAGATGATGTAGAGGTCACTCCACTAAATGTTGGCCGTCATACAGTGATCATTAATGTGTCATAAGTTAATGTGTCATATGTGTTTGTTACCCAGATTTTTACATTGCTTTCTCCAGACTCACATCAATTCAATCCATCCTTCATATAATCAACAGTTTTACTTTACTGAAATGTACCCTGTGCTCCAAATTCCTTACTATTACATACTAGTCCAATTTCTAGACACCTAATTTCTAGATCATCTTTTCCCATTCACTATACCACTATACAGTAATTCTTTTCAGTACCTCATCTAAAATGTTCTAGCATCTTTGTAGTTTGTCTAAGCTTTATCTCCTTGGAAGATTAATAAGAGTCGAAGGAAGAGATCAGATTGTCAGACAGAAAGCCCAAGAGCAATTTGCCTCAATTTACATCTCCTTCATATATGGTTCCTTGACACTTTGTACTTACACTTGTAATCATGTGTACATGTGTATATTTTCTTTGGATATTGTGGATATTGGATTACATGTTGTTGTTTAGGAATTCTCAATTCCCTATATAGTATTTAATAAATTGAATTCAATACAAGTGAGAAAATATTGTGTAAAGTACTACACATTTGAACATTTTTGTTCTTGTTTCAGTATTTACTTTTATTTGTTTATTTTTAAAATGAGTAAAACAAAAGGAAAATATACAAACAGCCTGCAAACTGAATTTATATATGGTAATATTATGTCAAATATTCTTTCAATAAATAAAAATATTATGTTTAGTGTTATGATACCACACCTAACTGCAATTGTCTCTCCAGAGGAAATTGTTCTCATGAATATGATGCATATTCAGTCTACACTTTTGTAGTTTTTCTGACTTTTATATGTGTATCACAAAAAGTAAGTCCTATTGCTATATTATATATTCTTTAAAAATATACATATGTGCTATAATACTGTTGGAATTCTTTCACAATTTTCTTTTACACTTATTAGTATAAATGTCAATTCTGTTGTCAAAATTATTTATTTCAATGGACATATGATATTTTCAAAAATCACAAATTTAGTCATCCTTCAATCAGTGGGACTCTTCCCAAATTTTTGTTTTATAATCAACATCTCAGTGAAATTACTTACAAATGTACACTTATAAGATTTGATCTAGGAGGAATACCTGGAAGTAAAGTTGTGTGTCATTTTCTGGTTTAGCAAATGAATTTAAATTGCTCAAGGGAATTGCTTCCATGTTCTATTACCTTAACAAAATGTCCGAGACAAGTGTATAAAGAAAAAAGTTTATTTGGCTCACAGTTCCAAAGGTTCAAAGGCATGGTATCAGTTGGTATCAGCTCAGCTTTTGACCACAGCACATCATGGCATTTTGCTTCCTGGCAGTTTGCACCGCAGTAGGAGGATGAGCCCTAGGAAGAGATCAGATTGTCAGACAGAAAGTCCAAGAGCAATTCAGAATACAGATTCAGTTGGTACTTTTACCACAACTCCCTCATGAGCACTCAGGGCCCCCCCCACAATGGCTGCCTTATTCCCTTCTGAGGGCAGCTTTTGCACTGACCTACGGACAGTCCCATGGGCCCCAGCTCTTAAAGGTTTCATGCCATTTCTCAGATTTGCCACACTAAGGGCCAAGTCTACAACATAAGAACTCTTTAGGTTCCACACAAACTATATCTAAACAGTAGCAAGCATTTTATAAACTAGCAGTTTGTGAAATACTTGAATTTCTATAATCATTGACTCAGTCACACTAGAACTGCCCCAATTTTGGTCAATCTTATGGCTACTTGTACTTCCTTCTAACATTTCTGGCTCATAAGTGGTAACCCATGGATTTGATGCCGTTAGATTCTTTCCTGGAAATAATAGCTCTCTGAAGTACTCCATATTTGGCTTCAATGATTTTGATTCTTTGTTTTTGGCTCACTGGCATTGGGAAAATACTGGAGAGATGTATTTTCATGCTTTGTTCTACTAATCCTCTATTCTCTACTGATCATGGCTGGTTATTTTATATAATTCTTAATGGTCCTTTTCCAAGTAACCTGAGATCTAGTTACCATCAACAGCTATGATTAGATTGGATCGTTTTTCTTCTGTCTTAATATGTGGCCAGATCCTTTCTGATATTTTCCGTAAGGCCTCATTTCCAGTTCCTACCTAGTTTTGCCTCCCCTGCCAAGAGCACCGCAGGGTAGTAGTCTAAATTCCTGCCAAGCCCCTTTCCTGTCCTAACAGGCCTCTAGTCATTCTCTATTTCTTTATTTTTTGATGTTGCCCACAACCTTTCCTTCACCGTCATCTGCCACTCCTGCTCTGATTTGCTGATTCATACTTTTCTCAATGTATGTTCTGTGGAGCTTCTGGGCCATGGCCCAGGAACAAGATGCGTTTGCTGCCTTCACCCACCCATAGTCATCAATGACATCCATAGCACCTGGTGTATCCACAACCCCCCACATAAGTTCTAGAGAGACTCATGCTTTGGCATTCTAAACCACTATGACTTCCAGGGGTTGTTGGCCTTTTAACACCTGGATTAAAAATGTGGGTGGAGCGCATATTCTATGATTCATGGCAGAACAGACACTCCCTGGGAATGGCAAAACCACAAGCAGCCAAGTTCCCTCTAACCTTCCATGGGCACAGTCCCTACAAAGGCAGCTCTATGTTTTCATGTCTTCCTTGCTTCCACTTTCCATTCCACGGCCACTTCCATCACAGAGAGACCTATGACCAAATATAGCAACATTGTGGATGAGTTTTAAATGGTGATCCCAGCTACTAAGTTGCTACCGTGGCTGAACATTACAGTCACTATGGAAGTTTTTCATACTTTACCAAGGCTCAAGTGTCTCCCTTAATGATCAAATCTTAATGTCCCAGTGTGAGATGTGCCACATTCTTTTTAATACCCTCTCTTCTCCAGGTGATTCTAATAAGAGACAGCATTGAGAATGGAGAACAGAAAACCATCTAAAATACACATCTTACCACATAAATTCCACATGACTTCAGGAAACTCTAGCCAAGAAAATGAAGTTCCAAATGATTTTATTGTTTGTTCCAAGAACCAACCCCTCACATCCATTTATCTAAATAACAGGCTACAATTAGCTCTCCCTACCCCAGTTCACTTTAATATGATCATCTAAAGTTTCTTTACTCTTTAAGACTCGGAAACTCTCACTTCTCTGTATCCACAGACTCTAAATTCTTACGTTACAAGTGTGTTTGTTCAGTCCAAAATTAATTCCAGTATTGAAAGACTCATCCTTAAATAATCATCTAAATCCTAAGATCCTTTCTTCCCCTTTGAGATGCTATTAAAACTAGTAAACTACTAATCTCTTTTATTGTGGAAGAAACTCTTCAGTGATTACAGGAGGTTATTTTGAAGGCCAGGAAGTTACTTTGATGCTATTTTCAGGAGCCAGCAATAAGTAGAAGCACTAACCTGGCCAGTTTGATTGTCTCTCTGGTCTAAGATATCCAGACTCTGTCAGCAGCTGACATAGATGCCAGACCTTAGAAATCATGATATAAACCCAGAGATCCTGGTCTTACTGCATTATGTGCAAGAAAACTGTTAACAAATAGGGAATGGAGTAAAAATGTCCAGAGAGGAACAGTGGAGAAAATGGAATGGACTTAGGTAGGCTCCTTAGTACCCAACATTTCAGCTCTATTTTCTGTGAGGGTTGCTTAGACTATCTTGTTTCTTCACTTGGAAGTCTAGGTGAGTACTTTTTGGTACCATGATAAGCCAGGGGAAATTCTCATACTTTGCATTTTTAGCTACTTAATTTATTAGTTCTTTAAGAAGCCCCACTTGCTAACTGTGGATATATTAGGGGGAAAAAGAACCAACCACACTCCCTTCCATATAGATAGCATAGTGCAACAGTTGTATTTGTAAGTATTTTGGTTACCTTCAATGAGAGTATAGAGTGTATTTTGTTTTTCTGCGTCATGGAACTCCATTTGATTGGGCCATTAAACTCTTTCTGATTAATCATTAGGTGCAGAAGGGACAAAAACTGAATGAAAGGTTCTGAAGGAGAAATCCAAAAGAAGATGTATCATGCTGCAGAAAAGAAGCTATGTTCTGTGGATCATCAGTTGTCTACGGCTTACAAACTCGCAGAGCTTGTGGACTGGGAGGAGAACGATTCAAGTTCCCAGAACTGTGTTCAACAGACTCAGCTCCTTGCCCAGCTGCTGACTGCTTAGGAAAAGCCATCCTTGATTAATGAAGGAATGTTGTCCTTCCTGTCTATATTTCAGAATTAAACATCCAGTCAAATGATGAGTGAATTAAACATCCTCCCTGTGCTTCAAGTTTCCTCACATCAAAATATGTGCTTTACCTGGTAAGTCAGGGGTTGAATCCCTCAGAGCTGGACTGGACTGCTCTATTACATCCCAAACTGAGGCCAGAAGAGACATACATACTTCATTCCACCCTGATGATTATTGTCCACCTACCCATTTTTGTAAAAAAAAAAAACCTAGCTTTCATTCTTTGCAAGCAAAATCTGATATTAGAATGATAATTGTTTTATTGGTATGGGGCCTGGAAGAATTTCAAAGCACTTTCCAAGGCTTTAAAATAAGTCTGAAAGGAAAATGCAATAACCTGTAATGTATGAATGACTCAACAGATGTCCTATTTTGTAACAAAAGCCGAGGTTGACTAATTTGCCCAAAGTCACACAGCTTGTTGAAGGCAGAATGAACCTAGTCTTATCTCAAACATGTTTAGTGTGATTCATCTTACTAGGACAGAAGCAGGAAAGAGATCCATAGAAGAACATATCCAATGTCCCAGTGTAGCTTTCACTGCAGTTCTTAAAACCATGTTAGAGAGAGTCGTGCATGAAAAATTATGAAAGCTGAGGTAATTTTATTTTCATGGTTCAAAAAACTGGAAATGCTTCAGATCTTAGAGAGCTATATAAATGGAACATTGCAGCATCAAAAAGACAAATAAAGAAGCAAAAGCCCCCTATTGTTGTCTCTTAACGATCATAATGGTCTTTGGTAGCTCCCTTCCCCAACTGTAAAAGTATCCCTTTGAAAAATAACTAAATCATTTTAATGTCAATTAAATTGATTTTCTTTTTGGTTGTCTTTCATTCTCATCATTGTATTATTTTTAAAGAATGAGTTTATTGAGATGTTACATGCATCAAGAAAATAATAGAAGTATTTATCTCTATTTATTGTGGCCTTTTATCTACATTTCTGTAAGTACAGAGAAACTCAAGATTTCAAAAATTCCATTATATTTAACACGCTAATACTCAACAATTTTAGCCTTTAACTAATTTGATCAATGACAACATTCCATTTTTCTTTGAGTCCCAGAGAATAATAAAAACCTAGAAATACCCCGATAGCAAAAGAAAGCCACTGGCTACTATTTTTCAGAATGATACTTTTTCAATAAATCGTCCAGATGGAAAAAGTTACAAAGATATTTGCTTTTCTTTCTGAATACAGCTAGTACCATTAAACATCTAGCAGAATGCAATGCTTTCTTATTCTGTTTTTGTTACAAATTCTTCTGGCTGTAATAGGAAAATATTGGCACAGTTATGTGTAAACTGTGCAGATTTCTGTGCTTTTTGAGAGCTTTCAGAGGGATATTTGTTAGGCAGGCTTTATTCATTTATTAATGTACTTCAGCAAAACTGACCATCCAGGGACACTGGTAAGAAGACTGCTGTATTTATTCTTGAGTATCTGGCCAGCCTATCTGTACGTCCATTTGATTATCCATGATTCATGTGAAATGCTTCAAAACAAGAAGAAATATAGACCAAGGTCTCTGGTTCAAGTGGTTAAAGGGGGAGACTCATTTGTGTGATTCCTCGTTGTAGGAAGGAGAGGCCTAAATTTGTAAACAGAACTCATCTGACTTTCTTTGAGAATACTGAGAAGCTATACTTACTATCAAGAGGATAAATTAAGAAAGATTTATTAAAGAAATGTCAGTTGAGTTGAATTTTGAAGATAAATGTTCATAGTAACAACTAACGGAGTTCTTACTCTCAACCTGACATGTTTTCAGTATTTCATGCATTAATTCATTAAATGTTCATGACAACCCTGTGAGTTAATTGATATTATTATCCAATCACCTCACTTAATCCTCATTTTAAATAGGGGGAAATTGCAGAGTGATTAAATAATGTCACTCAGTCAGGTTAACCCAGGAAATTAGAATGGGATTTTTCCCTGCTTCATTTTTGACTGAGGTGTGAAAAAGTGAGACACCCCTTCCCATTAGCGAGGTTTTGTGCATGTAATCATCTCATCTGTATGAAATGGGATCAGGAGATTTGAGGGAAACTTTCTTTAGAAATAAGCTGTCATGTAAATCTCCACTTGTCCCTTCATCAGGGAAATGGTGAACTTTCTACCTCAAAGATAAGGTTAAGGATTTTAAGGAAATAACTGAAAGAGTTCTCAAATGTGTTTCCAGCAATTGAGAGATGCAAAGTATGGTGTTCACCTCCCTCCAGATGAACTGTTGTTGAGCTGCAAACTGGAAGATCTGAACAGTGAAGGAGGGCCTGGCTTTGGTGATGGGGCCTGGAGCGAGCTTCAGCCTCTGAGGGCATCATCTCACACTGGCCAAGGGGTGCCAAGACTTAGTAATGGTCACATGGGTGACACAAGAGAAGGCCAAGAAAGGATCGGCTGGATCTGTGCAACACGGTGTCCTGGAGGGGAAGGAGATGGCAGTGAAGGACACTGGATGTGTCACCCCAGGTGGCCAGGTGCTGAGGGCATCAGAAGCAGCTGCCTGCAACAGAATGATTTAAGAGAGGCACCCAGCAAGGAACCTCCCCAGAAGTTTGGAAGTCTTCACCAAGAGAAAAGACTGGGCTCTTATCAAGTCAATCCATATGGAGACAGCGGTTTTACAACCTCTTAGGTCCACAGAGCAGAAAGCCACTCACCTAATAAGAAATGTCCTATCCCTTTATCTTCTCTTCCTTTTCTGCTTTGACTCCTGTGGAGAACAAACTCTGAAACAGCTGTATGTGGGTACAAAAAAAACAGGAAGCAAGAGAAGAAAGTCCTTGCCATTTACAACACTCCCCCGCCACACACACACACACACACACACACACACACACACACACCCCTCACTGAATGTCTCCAGCATGGAGTGGGCCCAAAGTGGAGCAGGGAGGCAATCAGCTGATGAACCAGGCTCAGGACTTTGGCTAGGATCTGAAGATGATTTTATAGTGTTCCAATTGAGACTCTCTTCAAAGGAAGATTGTGTCTGACAGCAGAAGCCATGAGGCCTGTGGGGAAATACTCAAGGTCTGGAAAGATTTATTGCCACCAAATAAAATTGCAAAAGACTTTGATTTTTAGACAATAGCAGCCACACACACAGTGATATTTCATGTGTGTAACCAGATCAGCCGTTAGGATGTATTAGTAAAAGCTACAATTATGTCAAAAATAGACAAATCTTCAGATATTCTGGAGCTCAATATTAGTTGGAAACCAATGGTAAATCCTCGCGTTTCTATGAGTCTGAGTTTTCTACCTAAAAATATTTTAGAGAAAGAATGCTTGACACCAAACTAGAAATAGAATAACTTCAGTGGAGCCCCTTGTCATAAACCTTGATAATTCAGCTGACATTTCTCATCCATACAGTAGAATAAAAATCCTTGCCTTTTCTACCTTATATGGTTATTTTGAAGAATAAAAGAGCATAAAATTGGTAATTTATAAGATGAAATTACATATATATATTTTATGTAAATATATATATAATATATCCCTTAAAAGAAAAAATAAGGAATTGAGCAAAACAAATCATAAAAATATTATATAGAATCTATAACACTCCTCCCACACACAAATGCGATACAAAAGCATGCTATGCATTCTTCATGGGCATGTATGTGTATATGTATATAAACCGTATAGGGTGGTGGATTAACCAATGGACAATTTATAACTCCCAGCTGAACCAAATCAATGGGGTACAGTATACACACATGTGAGATATTTGTGTGACTGTGAAAAGGAAAGTAGTGAAAGAAGACTTTGATTTTTAGAAAGCGGATGTTCATTTTTTAATAAAATTACAAATTATTAACCATTACTAGTAGTGGGGTTTTAGATGTCATAAATTTAAGGAGTTGTTTGTAAATTTTTGCCATTTTTTATCATTTTTTTAAACACTCAGAAATACACATGTACACATCATGGACAAACTAGAAAACAAATATTACACTGCTTGGAAGAGCGTGAGAAGCTATATAAACATAAGGTAATATTTAGGAATATGTTAACCTTCAATCTTCAGATCTAAACTGTGTTAAGTATATCTGGGAGTCTGATCCATGCAAATATCAGTGCAAAAGTTTAAGTGTGGTTCTCTGTTTTTGAACTCTCTGAGCTCAAATAATGCAAAGGATCTCAATATTTAAAATTAAACCACGTTTAATTTTTTCTCTTCATATACATGATCGATGGGAGCTTCATGATACAAATAAATTGGTTTTTTAAAATTCTAACAATCTTGAATCCCATTTCCTAGAGATAATCTTTTCCTTTCAGCATTTTTTCTATAAATATATAATTGGTATTATTTCAGTGTTTTACCCCTGGCACATATCATCAAATTTTCTTGAAAACATACATTTTGCAATAGTATTGTAAAATGGTGAAATATTGTAAACACTGTAAAATTGGTGGAATATTATTCTACCATATGCAAGCATCATTGCTGTTCTTACATTCTCCTACTGATGATCATACAAATTATTTTTTGTTTTGCTATTCCATATAACCCTCTAATAAGTGGTTTATTTATAACTATTCCTGAGTGTCACTGACATTTTAAAACTAAATTCCCAAAGATTTATAACTTCTAGATCTTAGGAAGACAACATTTTGCTTTATTACCTACTAGCTAGCATCCTTCTAAAATGTAAAGAAAGGCTCTCAATGAAAGACACTGCTATTTCCTTAGCAAAGCATATTAACAATCTCACTACACTGAGTAAATAAAAATTTAAAGCGGTGGATAAGGCATTTACAGAACCACACTGATTTATATTCCTTCCCAGAGTAGAAGAGAATGATGATTCAGAGAATTTTTGGCCAGCATTATTTTTACATTTTGCCAATTTGATAAAAATGGAATATTTAAAATTTTAACAACTTTTCATATGATTCATTGATATTTTTTCTCGACATTCATATTATGCTTTTTGCTCTTTCACAGTTAAAGCACCCATCTGATTGACTTTTTTTTTTTAATTTGAGTGGTACAGTTTAGATATACATAGTGATCACATTCACCATAGGGAATTTGTACCTGTACATGATATATCTTGATGCTTCCTGTTTTCTCATTCCTCTTCCCATTTATAGTTCATTAATCATAGTTAATTTAAATATGTTCAAGTATCTGGGGAATAACTGATTTGCTTCTTTTAATTCAGAAACTCCTTCTCCACTTCTAGATCAAATATCCTTTTGTGTTTTTCCTTGTCCCCCATAATTACAGATTTCACATATAACTTTGACTCTGTGTATTTTATTTTCTGTATGCTTGATAAAAGAGAAATTCTATATTCCTATGTTTACTATTAAAATGGACCCACTTTAGAGGATATTAGGTATTCAATCTTGGATATTGATAAGTTTGTAAACTGCAGCCCTCCGTTGCTTTGATTTTTAGTCTGATGGAAATAGAATGTTTAATAAAATAAACTTGAGGGAACATTTTTTTCAGGTGAAAATACTCACATATGAAGATTTTCATAATTCATTTCATTTATACATTTTTATCTTATCAATTCAAATTATGTTATATTTTGCATGGATTTGATTCAGCTAAAAATGAGCAAAAATTAAAAAAAATTCACTCTGTTCAAACTATCAAAATTGGAGCCGATCTGCTCCTTTAAACCTTCACCTTCAACTTACCCTGATTTTTGTGTTTTCTCCTATTATTGATGTCACTTGATTTAGATTGTGTTTCTGCAGAAGCAGACCCCAAACCAAGACGTGAGGGCACACGGCACACTTAGGAGGTGATCCCAGGAAGAACTGGAAGGGAGTGGGGAAGCGAGACAGAGAGACGAAAGCCTGGAAGGATGTCCTGTGGAACACACATTCCTATGAGAAATTTAGGCGGGACTCTATCGGTGAAATCTCACTACATGTAGAACATGCCTCTGAGTTTCACAAAACCTACGTCTTCGTTTGCTCTTCCGCATTTCTCTCCACCACATCCTAATTCCGGCTCGCAGCATATTTCCCTAGACAATTATCGTAACTGCCTTACTGGTACTCTCTTGTCCAGAGGGCTCGGGGTCTATGTATTCTAATAAAATTGATTTAGATGTCCCAGGTTAATCTTCTAAATATACGATTATTATCATTCAAAAAGGTCTAACCCAGGGAATCACTGGTCTCTAAAAATTACTTCCCTCCTTCTTTCCAGCTATATCTTCCCACCCCCTCAAAATGTGTACTCAGGAAAAACTGAGCTCACAGACTCCACACTTCCCAGAGAGCACAAAACCTACCATTACCTTTTCTTTCTCTTGAGTGCATGGTCTGTCCTCACATACCATTCTGCTGAATTCCTACCAGGGGAACAAAGCTCATCTCAAACACTGCCTTAGAATTCTCTGGCAACACCCAAGCTGAAAGTTAATATTTTTTGAACTCTGTTATAGCATAAAACACTTGTCACTCTGAGTTGTGTTCATTTGTTTGCCCTTAGGTTGTTCTCTTTCAGGACAGGGTGTGCATTGATTCTCCATAAAATCAAGCAAGTCATTGCACATAACCTACAGACAAAAATTACATATGAACCCACTTACTTATTCATAACCTGTCTTTGCCTGGCATGTGTGGGGCCTGGCTTCTACCCCAAACTCCTTAAAACCAAAGCAAACAAACAAAATAGTGTGTTTCTTACTAAAGAAAAAAATCAGAAACCATGAGAGTCAACTCACCAGTTTATGAGAAGAGGTCAAGTGACTGAAATTTTCTTTTCTCACAAAGGCATGATGGACACAAGCTGAGCAAAATTACAGGGCCCAGGGAGGTTAAAAAAAAAAATCAAAATGAGATTAACCTGTGGTTTAAAATCATTACAGAAGAAAGATAATAAATCAAACATAAACATATGCATTATGCTGAGTCCTGTAAGGGAACATGATAGTGTATTGTTCCAGTGTTAAGGGCAATGAGTGAGACTTAGAATTAAGAAAAAAAATCCTCTCTGAGAAGGTAATGTTTAGAGTGATACCTGCAGGATAAGGAAGATTTCCAAAACAGAGAAAAGATTATGTGCAATGGATCTAGGATGGTAAAAGTCTGAGCAAGAGGCTAGCCAAGTTTAGCACTGGCTAGATAATGCATGATCCTATAGAAAATTTTTAAAAAATGTATTGTGTTGAACTGCTAGGGAAAATCATTGAGGAGTGTTAATGTTAACTTTAAAAGTTTTTTGAAATGTTTATCAAACACAAAAGGTTTCCCTATAAACCAAAAATATTCAAAAATTATTTTGAAATTAAACTTTTCATTTTAAAGATAAAATAGTATATTCCTATACACTAAGGCAAAATAAAATTATTTCTATTGCTTATTAACTCTAATATAGAGCTAGTCAAGGAGTTATTTTGCTTTATTTTCATAAACTTTGATCAGATTTCTTTGTTTCTGTTATGATGTAATTGATTTTGTTTTTCTGCAAAGTAATTTAATTTTTCAATGTATTTTTATGTTTAGTTTTTAACATATTGTTTCTTGTTTTTTACTTTTGGTTGATAGGGATTGAACCCACAGCCTCAAGCGTGCTAAGCACAGGTTCTACCAATGAACCACACCCTCAGATACACTGATAGCATTATTGAGGTGTAATTTACATGTCAACAATTTACTTCAATTGACTTACTACTGTAGTTTCACTCTAAATATTGATGTCAGGTAGTGTCATTCTTCCAACTTTCTCTTCAGTATTGTATTTCCTTTTCTATGAATTTTAAAATTAGTTTGTCAATATCTAAAAAGTAGTTTGCTTCAGTTTTACCTCAGATTGCATTGCATCTATGGATCAAGTTGGAAGGAACTGACATCTTGACAAGATTCTTGACAATTATTCCTCTAACCAAAGAACATGGGGTATCTTTCCATTTATTTAGTTTTTCTTTATTTTCCTAACATAGATCTTTTGATTTTGTTATAATTATATCTAAGCATTTTATTTACTTGAGTGCTAACAAATTTTTTTTTTGTAATTTCAACTTCCACTTGTTCACTGCTGCTGTATAAGAAAACAACTGACTTTTGCATATTATCTTTGTATCCTGAAAACTACTAGAATTTTATTAGACCATTTTGCTGTTATATGGAGAACAAAAATGAAAAGGACCAGAATAAAAGCTAGGAGATCATAAGAATGTCACTGTCATTTACTGAGTGGGAAAATACTGTAATTTTCTCAGTTGCAATAGAAGCCTAAATTAGAGAGAAACTGGATGAATTAGTGACACATATTTAATTTCTAATGTACAATGCTTAATAATTCATTATTGAATGTGAGGGAAAGATTTTAAGAATAATTTTAAGTTTTGGGATTTGAGTAATGATGAAGATGTTCCTAACACGGAAAGAACTAAAAAAGGATAGAAGAGAGTATGGGAAAGGGTTAACATAAAGATACAGCTGCTCATTTCTCTGTGTTCCAAGGGCAGTTTGATCACATCTGCACAGGGTCTCTGTGTGCATTCTCCTCGTTTCTTCAAATTGCCTTTTCAATTTATATTATAGTCTCAACTCTATCTCTGACCCCTTATGGAATCTCCATTGCGTTTAAATCCATTGTTAAACTCTGCTGCTGCATTACATGTGCTTGGTTTGGGCTTTCTGTCTGTTGGTTTTCTTTTGGTTTGGTTGTTTTGTCATCTTGACCTGTAACCTAGAATTAAGTGAAAACCTCATCCATGCAAATCTGACCATGCCACACATATAATGGATTAGAAACAATTTAAAAAGCAACTTATAAAATCCTCTGATTTTGAACATTAGTAATGTTTTCTTTGTCCTCAAACAAGTCTTCTCTGCAGATCACATTTGTACTTTCCTGAAGGAATGTCGGCTGGATGTGGGCACATTTCAACTGAGGGTATTTGAAGTTTGAAAAGGGCAACTTCTTATTTATTTGTTTTTTAATATATGTAAGTAAAATCTAAGAGCTCTAGCTAAGGATCAAGTACAGGGAAAAATATTCTCAAGGACTGAGGCAACCCTAAGGATTCCATGTATTGGAGTCAAATGAAGATTTTTAGGTAAATCATCATGGACGAGCATACACATTCATTGATGAGATCATTTAATCCTAAAAAATAGACTATTATTGAAAATGTGATTTCTACGCTAGTTCAACCAACAAATCCCTGCATGTTCATATGTGAACAAATCACTTCACAATCTAGACCTTGGAGTCTTCAGTTGAAATGATCTTAAATAAAACTCTTTCAGTCCAAAGCATCCTGAGTTTCGTTTTTCAAGCTTGTCTCTGTTGAGTCTGTGTTCATGGTAACTTTTTCAATGTGCTCTCTGAATAGTAAGTCAATGTATGCTTGAATAGGGAAGGGAAGATAGTGGGATGTTTATTAGCCACACTTGCCATGGTGCCAGTTACTGCAGACCCCTGCAGTGGTTTCCAATCTCCTGCCTGGGTTCCAGTGCACAGCAGGAAACAAACAAACAAAAAAAGTAGAGGGGTGCATAGCAGGGATCTGGGACCACCAGCTACTCTCTAGGAAAAAAAGGCCACGAGGTACCCAGATCCTTGATATTTATTCATTACATCTGAGTCAAGGACAATGGGTGAAGGGCAGTGGGTGTTTCCAGGAACAGTAGACTACAGTAGGCTAGGAGGATCAAAACATTCTTGCAAAGACAAGGACAAGAATTTCCCCAGATATCTTATCCTTTTTAGCAAGCTTATCTTTCCCTATGAGCACCACAGCAGTTATTAGCCCTAGGGCTTCCAGCAGTGACCAGAAAAGAGCAGGGACTTTCTACACTCTAATCTGGCCCAAAGGGGTAGGACAAGGAGAGCCTAGGACAGACACTCTGTCCATTTACAATTCACAGTCCCCAAAAGATGTTTGGAAAAATACGGTAGATGGCATGTGACCTAATTGATCATTATTAGAAAGCTACTTATTGAACTTCATTCACTGACTCAGTTCCAGGTTACTGTGAGATTTAAAAGAAAGCCAGTCTTTAGCCTAGGACCTATTTCATTATCGGGGAAATCTGATTTTGTTCTATACACATGGGAAGATGAAGAAAGACTATCAACAAATACATAGTCTGATTACAGTGTTCCATTCTTAACAGGGAAGTCACTAAAGAAAAATGAATAGTTAAAATATTGTATGTCTGATTTTTAATGTTCTTAGTGGAAAGTCTTAGTAAGTTAGGGAACAATCTTCTAAGGGACGGGTCAGAAGTTCTGCCAATTAAAATGAGGCAATGAGTGTAACAGAAGAAGACGCTCTGCTTATCTATTCTTATCGTTATCTTGCAATAATACAGAAGCAGATCCCTGGGGAATTTCAGATTTTATGGGACAGAATCCGAAGTCTGGCAGTCTTTCATATGAAGCATGTAGAAGTTAGCGTCTCTTGTGTTGTGGGTATTATTGGGAATGAAGTGGTGAAAGAATAGCAAAAGAGCTTCAGCTGTTTCAGAGATCCCAAAATTTAACATTCATTTCATTACATTTATTTCTCAAAGTTCAGCACAGTTCTAGAATGCAGAGAATGCCTCCAGAAAGTTAGGAGTTTTGCTTTAATAAATTGCTGTCTCCCTGTGTAACATTTTCAGAGATGAGGGAGATTTGACGGAGCTATAGAAAAAGCGGGTGGGGGGAGCAAGATTTGGAATTTTCTCTGCTTTGCAACTAAATCCAGGATATCAGGAAGGGTGACAACAGCTGTTTCACTATCATTTTACATGTGTGGAAAGGCTTTGAAAATGGACACTTGCTGCAAAAAGTAAAATGATGTTCTGTTTTAAAAAGTCACCATTCTTACCAAACGTGGTGGTGCATGCCTGTAATCCCAGCACTTGGGAGGCTGAGGCAGGAGGATCACTGTGAGTTCAAGTCCAACCTGGGCTACAAAGTGAGTTCAAAACCAGCCTGAATTGCATGGTGAGATCCTGTCTCAAAAAAGACAAAAACAAAACAAAACAAAACAAAACCCAAAAAGTCATCATTCTTATTGTGTGTAAAATGATTATTCAAGAATCAAAAGGACAGCCTTTGTCTCTAGAGGACTGGCTTCAGTCATTTTTAACAAGGATGGTTCCTTCTATTTTGAAAAGCACTTGAATTCAGGAAGCATTTAAATGTCACCTAAAATGTAGTCAGGAAAACAGGCAAGGAAGATTCGTTTTTGAACAAAACATCAGTTTTGATGATAAAATAATACATTAAAGTTATTTACAAGTCCTCCCAAGCCATGCGTATCATCCCTATGGTCAGTTCACAACCTCTCAAGATTCTATGTTGAAGAAAATTACAACTTTTCCATCTTCATTTTAATAACAGAAGTTACAGCTACATTTTGTGTACTAGAATTTAAGTTCTGGCTGTCTTTCAGATGCAGAACTGAATTGCTAATGTATCTATTAGCAACTGGGTTGCTAATATAACTATTCTTCTGGGTAGATTAGGGCTGAGATGCGGGGGAAGTGGAGATTTTATAAACACAACTTGAAAGAAGAGTCCTCTGAAAAGCTTTTAAACATGCATTTGTATATTTTTATAGTACTTTCAAAATAGTGATTAAAGTTTGAAAGTGCTTGGGAATGAATTCAGCTCACTTTTTGAATATAAATTGTCCTCCTCTCCCCAAAATTAAGTTGCCCAGGCTGACTTACTGTTTATATTGCACATTTCTCTAAGAGACAGAACGGTAAAGTGGTCAAATTGTGTGGAGAGAGAAGTTAAGATCGGTTTGGAGAATTATTTATTCAGCTGTTTATTTATTTGTTATTTTGCTGCTTCTTCAGGTGAACCATGTCGTTACTATGCTGGTTTTTAACTCTAGGTTTATTACATAGGTTGGGATAAATGAAGTAGCTCTATTTCTACTCATTACTTTCCCTGCCCGCAATTCTCTGCAGGATTCTTTGCTCTAGTGAAGGCAGAGAAACAGAAGGAGAACACATGCTGCTCAGATTGAAGTGGGGAGGCTCCCCAGAGAGCGGGGGCAAATGGTTCCCTCTGTAGTGCCCCGGAATGGGAATCGTTACTATGCTACGGGTTGGCTCAAAACAATAACAGCAGCCTCCAGCTCTGCTGGCTGAGTCCAGCTGATATCTCCAGGCAAAACCAACATGCTCTGAGAAAACTGAGACTTTTAACGACCCCACAGGGAGCTTAGAAATCTGGGGAGTCAATGTTTAATTTTATCGCAGAGACTGGTGTAGGGGAAGGGGGGAGTGGTAATTCCAGGACCTCTAGGAATGTTATCACACTACATTTTTTTAAAATGAAAGAATTAGAATAGGGAGCTAGAGGAGGCCTCATGTGTCTAGTTCCACATCTTTACTGATGGGAAGAAAAGAAGCCTGAGAGAAGTGACTTGTTGAAGGTATCAGGACTGGCTCCTGGCACAACCAGTCCAGGGCAAGGTATTCTGACTTCTAGACTACCAGAGTAATTCTATGTGCAACACTGCCTTTGAAATAGAAACTTATTCTTTCACCCATCCAAATATTATTTCCTAGAATGCAGACACAGTGTGGGATCTGGTGGTTGTTTCTTTCCAAGAGGTTCAGGGGATGGAGATGCATAGCTTTTTATCTTCGAATAAATTTCCACTGGAGCAAAGTGCCCCTGCGAAGGAGAAGCAGTTTAAGAGTGAATACCACTGGAGCAGCCTAGACAACCTGGTTAAGGAAACCACAGGCCAACTTCCTGGGCAGCTGGTACTAAACAGGTGGGCAGCGATCAGGAAGTTGGGATCTAGTTTTAGGGGAGCCAAAGTGAGTAGTGAAGACAGAAACTAAGACAGAAGACAGAATCATACACTTGTGCGTATGATGCGTGAGTTTTTTAGGTTCTGCCAATATTCTGATTTGAACAAATTCTATGAAATCATTACAATGAGAAAAAAATCAACTGCTACATCATATTTGATAGCTCACCTTGGATGATTTTCTTATGATTATTAGCCAGGCGTGGTGGTGCATGCCTGTAATCCCAGCACTCAGGAGGCTGAGGCAGGAGGATCCTTATGAGTTCGAGACCCACCTGGGCTACGAAGTGAGCTCAAGGTCAGCCTGAACTGCATAGCGAGACCCAGTCTCAAAAAAAAAAAACCAAAAAAAATGGTCATTAAAGTGTTTTGAACGGAGTGAAATTTGTGCAGAGTGAACTCAAGTCACTTCCTGTATTCAAAAGTAAAGCAAAATTATTTTCATTGCTCCCCAACTTTTTTCCTCTCTCTCACACTCACACACATATATGTACACGCCTGTACACACACACACATATGTACATGCCTGTACACACACACACATACGTACATGCCTGTATACACACACACACACACACACACACACACACACACACGGAGTTTGCTATCTCATTACATTTTCTTCTATAATTGGTAGTGAATCGTATCAGTTGTTAATCTTTATGACAACAAATCACACTTTAGTAAAAGATGAAATGCTACCGTTATACATAAAATATTCACTCATATAAAACAAAATTATATTTTATATCACCTTATTATCTCAAAAGCAAGCTCTTCTAGATTGGACACAAACAAGACTACGCATTTATGAGATGCTGAGATTCCTGAGACCAGTGACAGGACAGCACTATGCGCTGCCTGCACCTTGGAAGGTTCTCATCCTCCAGGTGGCTGGGGTGGTCTCCTAGAACTTATTCTGCACCAGCGAATTGAACCCAGAGAAGGCCCAGCAGTTTTAGGAGAGAAACATATAGATCAGTCACAACATTGTGTGTGCCAGACTTAGAGCATGCAAACAACAAGCAATGGGATGAAATGCATGTGCCCAATGGCAAAGGTTCTGTATCATGGTAGCTTTACAAGAGGATGGAAGGATACCTAGCAGAGAGATGAAGCTGTCCCCAAGGAGGCTGTACACAGCACCCGGTGCTGATCTAAAGCAAAGTGCATTACTGATGCCTGACAGCTGGGAACAGTGGTTTGCTTTCTGGGACAAGGAGAGAGCCCCATTTAAGAAAAGGAATGTGGTGATAATACAGTATTTACATTGAATGAGAGTCCTCATTTTGTTTAAGTGTCTTGAGGAGGGAACTTCTTGAGTAATATTTTATACACCTCCAGCTTGGCCTGGATATAGGAGGGATAATTTGATTTAGGATGGGGTGGCAAAAGTAATAAGAAGATCATTCATTGCTAATTAAAGTCTATGTTCTTTAAAACTTTCGCAGGTGATATCTGGATATTAAGCTGTCCCATTTCTGAGGACTCAGAGTCCTCAAATGGAGTCCTTCAAAAGTGGAGTTGGGAAAATATAACTTATTATCAGTCCTGATGTCTGACAATAAGAAAATGCAAGGACCCAGTTTCTAAACCAGGGATCAAAGCAAAGCTGTCCAGTGGGTCCTACTTTGTGATGGGACAGACCTTCCTTGGACTACTGAATGACACAAACTAGACTTCATCTCCACTGCCTGCAGCAGAATTAACCATAAAATGTGGGGTCAGCAGAAGAGTAGGGTCTGCTAAGAAGAACACAGAGAGGGAGACCAGAAGGATGTCTCAAAAATATGCAGGACATAGGGTTTATAACAAGATGACAGGTCATTCCATGCATGTAGAACATTCTTCTCCTCCAGAAGTTCTCATAGATCAGTTTTGTTGGTTTTTTGTTTGCGTCTTTGTTTTGCATCCATGTACAATGACCTGGCATCTCTTATGTGGGGATTAATTTAGACCTATTTACATCAACTGTCATGACAGTTTATATGTATTATGTCACCCATCAAGCTAAATTCACATTCATATTAAATCTCTTTCCAAAACATATGTCTTTATACAGACACACACTCACCATATGCACACACAGCTCTGGCCCATACGTACTATGCAAAATAATTTTGCAAGTCTGTGACTTTAGCTGAATGATTTATATACTAATAAAACAAAATTAATGATTGAAGAATAAAACGTATTCTATAAAAGTTGAGTCAAAACAGAATTTTGACAGCAGCTATTAAAATCAGGCTTAGGTCTAGACGGAGGCAGTACAGAATGTTAGGAAAAGCACCCAGTAGATGTCAACCCTGGTCCTATCACTTAGAAACTGTATCCTTAGGCAAGTCGTTTTTCCTTTAGAAGCCTGTTTGTTCACTGGTAAAATGACAGTACTTTTGCCTCATTTAAAAGACTCTTGAATATTGATTAATGTCTGCAAGAAGAACTGACATAATATCCAGACTCTGGATTTCAATACAAATTGTGTATTTAGCTTAAAATATTTTGGGAATAATAAATGTTAGTTATCCCTATCACCTTTTTCTTCAACTAACTGTGAGTGTCCCCAGGAATGAAGTTAGAACATCTCGTCTCCGTGGCCTGAGTGTAAGGACAGAGTTTGTGTGATTTGTTTGATTTGGAATTTTAAAGCTCAATCAGGAATTAAACTAAGCTTAGAGATGGAGCCATTAAGGAAACTGCAAAGGGACAGACAGTCCCAAAATGTGGCAGTCTCTGTTTGGTTTTTAAATGTAAGTTAAATATTAATTTGACCTAAAAAAATAAAACCTCTTCCTCCAGGGAGGCCTTTTTCCTCTCACTCTCTTATGCTGACAGATTGTTGGTGGCGCTGGCTTTTTCACATTGATTTATTTGGAGGAAAAAAAAAAAGTCTTCAGATGATCCTATTTGGGTTAGAAAAAAAAGTCTTCAAAACAGCTCTCTTGTGGCCAGCGTCACTAGCAACCCAACACGGTGTGAGGTGTTGCACAGTGAGAATTATTCCTTTCATTTCAAAATCAAAGATGGGGGCTGGGGATTTAGCTCAGCAGCAAAAGCGCCTGCCTGGCAAGTGCGAGGTCGTGAGTTCGGTTCCCAGTACCGGAGAAAAACCAAAAAAAAAAAAAAAAGAAACATTTTCAAAATCAAAGATGTTTAGGGCAAGAAAAGCCCTGGTTACACATGATCAAAATAAACTAACATCAGATTTGCTTACGGAAAGCGTTGATGAGATCTAGTGCTGAAGTCTGAGTACTCCTTTTATTCTTCCACCAAGATTTTTATAGAAAGAATAAAAATCAACTCTAAAAGCGAAGCTGATTTGAAGAAAGTAGGAAATGCTTCAAGATCTCGTTTTCTAAATTCCCTTCTGCTGATAGCTCCTTACAGCAAACAGAGTGTAACAATATTGTTGATTTATAAACAGAAGTCCCAAGGAAATTCAAGATGTCGTCAAGATTCACTCCAGATATAACAAAAAAGAGAAGTGATTGAAGCTTTTAAATATTTTGGATCTCTCTTGTTCTCTGGCTGTTCTTAAAATTTGTAAGGAACTGGGAACAGAACTGAAATTTCAGGTTCCCACGTTCTACCTATCTTAGAGGTAATGTCAACATCTTTTGTTTAAATACCTCCTTTTATCAAACTGCAATTTCTGTCTTTCACACACTCTTCTTTCTCCATTTAAAAACTTTGTAAAAACACTATCACCTAGTGATTCATGGCATTCAGCATGTATGCCTTATATTTTATGTGAAATTAAACATCTGCTTGCTGGTCCTTATCCATGTGACATGTGGTTCATTTTTTTTCCTAATTTATATATTAATGGAATTGGATATGCCTTGCATTGACAAATTATGATCTGCCCCAGGGTTCTTTAAGTTCAAATTTAGCATTATTGATGGTTAAAGGTAGATAATTCTTCCTGGTGGGAGACTTTCCTGTGCATTATATGTTAGCACCATTCCTTGGTTGATAGGGTTCCCACCTTCCACTCCCTAGTTAACAACCAAAAATGTACCCAGATATTGTCAAACGTTTCCAGGTGGGAAAAATCATCCCCAGTTGAGCACTATTTCTTTAAGTCTTGAAGACAGTGGTTTGCAAAGTTTAGTGGACATCAGACTTGCCAGAGAACTTGAGATAAGCACAGAGGTCCAGACTTGATTCTGCTTCCAAAAGCCAAGAATTCTGTGGGTATTTTTCATAAGCCTTTTGACAACACAAAAACATTGAGAGGTGCCATAAACAAGACACTGGATAACAACATATGCTTCTTGCTCCACAGGGAACTTGTCAGAAATGTAAATTTGGGGGTTCCACCACAGACTTAGTGGTGCAAGTTTCACAGACTCTGAGATGCAAACCACTTAGTTATCTAAGACATGGCCCAGCCAATATTGAAGTATACTCTACAACATCCAGCAAGAATTTCAGACGCACAAGGCCACTTTGAAGGACTATCTTTCAACACAATAGGCACCACTGGGTAGAGCTTGGCTGGAATCAACTTCTATGCATAGCACAACTCTTATCAACATATGGTCATGGACATTTGGGAGCTGATCACTCTTAAAGGGGCAAATCAGATTAGCCTTCTGGGGAAAAGAGATCTGAGGGAACACACAAAACCCTGTTCTGTTCTCGTATCTCAGACTTGTTAATACTCCTCACCACTGCAGCCCCAACTCACCCGTGGTGTCTCTAAAGTCAAGCAGGGGTTGTGCAGAAGGAAGTAAGGTAGCAGAAGGCTATACAGAAGGCTTCAAAGATAGTGAGCACTTTGGAAACCAGAAGGATGCTCATGTGGCTGCAGCCTTATGCTTTTGACTCTGTTAGAGCCATTTTCTTTCCCAAAGTTTTCCTAGATTTTCCTTCTAGGAGCCATCTTCACGGTTTGTGTTTCCATTGGACTTTTAATCTAATCTAGTATGTACCGTGTTCTTACCTTGTACTGCAGCCCCACACATCATGTTCATGTCCTATACAATACTGTAAGTCCCCAGAGATAAGGATTCTGGCTTATTCATCTCTTCTTTCCCTGTAATACCTACCTGGAGGGTAGGCATTCAAAGATAGGAATTTAATTGTCATGTATTGGATGATACAGAAATATTTCGGGATATAGAGGTAAAATACCGCAAAGTAAAGCACTTTGCCCACAGTCCAAAAGCAGTACTTTCCATCCTAGTGTGCTTCAAAACCTTTCACAATTACATTAACTCTAGACTTCTGAATCATTCACAGAGGCGATTCCTAAAGAAAAGGTCTGCGCAGATGAGTCAAGCGCTAATTCTGGAACACTGAACATCCGAGGTATTCCGTATTCATTCAGTTTTAAACTGGAGCTTTGCCACCAGGGATAAGCGACAATTTAGATCAGTAAAGTTTGGTGGGAAGATAAATAGAAAGAGCTTGGGACTGGGGATTTAGCTCAGCGGCAAAAGCGCCTGCCTGGCAAGCGCAAGGTCGTGAGTTCGGTTCCCGGTACCGGAGAAAACCCCCCCCCTCAAAAAAAAAAAAAAAAAAATAGAAAGGGCTTGACTAGTTTCCACTGGTGTTCAACAACTCGGGCTGTCTATCTCCAAAGCCAAAGTGGTCCAACACTGCAAAATAAATGAAGGAACCAACGTGGAACTGGCAACCTTCTGAACTTAGTGATGGTTCCGTGTTTGGGACATCCAGACCAACTTGATGGTTTGTTCCCATGTATGACCTCCGTGGCCAAGAGCCTATGACAAACTATAGGACACTCAACGCCGAGAAGGGGTTTCAGGGTCTACCACGTGAGCTGGCACGCATCCCTGTCAGAGTATAAAGGCCAGGCACAAGAAAGGGGGCCACTTTGACTGGGCAGCATTTCTCCCGCAAGGGGAGTACGAGCACAGGAAAGCTTCCAGCTAGTTGCTGGGAGTCTGGCAGCTATTTCTGTCCGCTTTCCCATTCCTAGATTGACGCTAGTTGCTGAAATCTCGGGGTACTGGATTTATTACACTGCCGCTGTGTTGAGCTCTTACAATAATAATTAGTGTCTAACTACCATTTGAGATGTTGGACTTTTTTTGGCCGTTTTAAGAGAGGAGGAAACTAAGACTCAGTTGTACAAGCTGGAAAAGCGACAGAGGCGAGACTTAAGTATACTTTTTCCTCCGGCAGCTCTAATGCCAGGGTCTGTGGAGGACAGGCAGCCTATTTATGAGTATTTCCCTGCCCCAGCCCTATTTGCTCCAACGCAGAAACTCACCCATCCACACCCAGTGGGAGGAGGCGGCTAGGGAGAGAGAGACCCGCCCTAAGGTGGGGAGCGCTAAGCTTTGATTGTAAAGACCCGGGGCTGAGCCCGTCCTTTGCCATTTCCCGGCCACATTAACACTGGAGCAAATCTCTTTTCCTTCCAAAGCTCCTCACCTAGTCCTGCGGCTCCCGCAATGCCGAGCGGACCTGGAGCTTTCGGTGGATTCTGCAAACACGGCAGGGTCAGACACAGATTCCAGAGATGACTGGGACCCTGACCTCACTAAGCCGGATTTGTTTCATCTCTAAAACAGATCTGCACACCCGCGCCTGCAGCCGAGACGCGAACCCACGTGTCCGCGGTGGCTGCGGAGTCCCGAGCGGGCGGCAGGAGGAGCGTGCGCGCCGTGGGCGTCGCTTTAAGAGCGGCCGGCGCGGAGCCTCCGCCTCTCTGTCCGCGGAGCGCGGCGGGCACCTGGGGCTGCGGGAGCCGG